ACACCACATACATAATATTAAGAGAGAGAGAGAGAGAGAGAGAGAGAGAGAGAGAGAGAAAGAGAAAGAAAGAGAGAGAGAAAAAGAGAGAGAGAGAAAGAAAGAGAGAGAGAAAGAAGATTTAATGCTGGTATTATAATGAAGACATTTCATTGATAATACTGATGGCAGGATGTTGATGATGATAATGATGTTGCCGCCGGTGATGATGATAGTAAAAGTAATTTGAATGATAATGGTGATGATGAAGATTCATGTATAGTAATTGTGATGATGACGACGACGACGACGATGATGATATGGATGATGACCATGACCATGAATCAGAAAATCACTCAATAGCAATGGAAAAAGTACCAAATGCTAACATTACATGCTTGCTGTCAGTCAGGTTACAATTGTACACTGAACAATGTAGATTAGATATTGATTCAATCATTTGTTTATTTAGGTTTGTATTGTATTGTATGTAGGTATGTATGTTTGTTTGTTCGTTCGTTTGTGTATATGTATGTATGTATGTACGTACATATACACAACCTCAACAACAACAACATCAACAACAATAACAACAAAAACAACAACAACAGCAACAACATTAACAACAACAACAACAACAACTACTACTACTACAAGAAAGACAGCAAACCAAAGAAGCGTAATATATGGAATATTCAATAGAACGTGGAAAAAGTCCATGCGCTCAGATCCAACCACCATCATATGCATGCTAAATTCATCCATGCATCATACATGCATTGATGCACAAACATGCATACATACATACATTCATTCGTTCATTTATCATTCATTCATTCATTCATACATACATACATACATTCATACATACATACATACATACATACATACATACATACATACATAGATACATACATACATACATACATACATACATACATACATACATACATACATACATACATACATACATACATACATACATACATACATACATACATGCATGCACACATACATACATACATACATACATACATACATACATACATACATACATACATACATACATACATACATACATACACAAAAACAAACTCTTTAATACAAAACATTGAGGAAGTAGTAATTAATACAAATAAAAGTATTAAAAAATAAGATTGACAGTAAGTGTAAGAAAAACGCTAATAAATGAATGAAAAAATGAGAGAGAGAATGAGAGAGAGAGAGAGAGAGAGAGAGAGAAAGACAGAACTAGAAAGAAAAATAATGATAGACACCCAAGCAGTGAGCTCACGAAGAAAACAAGAGAGAGATAGTGAGAGGATAAAGTGAGAGGAAGATGGATGAGAGAGAGAGAGAGTGAGATAAAGTGAGAAAAAGAAAGAGAGAGAGAAAAAGAGAGAGATTGCCATGAATCTGGTGAGGGCGTGTATTTATATAGTGTGGTTCAGGCGTTTTAGGCTGTTGTTTTTATGACGACGGTTATTGGGATAAAATTTTGCTTTTGATGTTGTTGTTTTGGTCGGGAGATGATGAACGATTGAATGAAGAAATGAAACGAATGAATGAAAGATAAGGCGAAGGAAAGAAACGTGAAGGAGAGAAAGTAGGGAGAGTAAAATATACATGTACTGTACACTAAGATACATACATACAAACATACATACAAACAAACAATCATACATACATACTCATCCAATCCCATCTTATAAACAAACCATAGAAATAGATCCATACATACAGATAGGATGGTTTTATTACAAACATTGATAACTGCTATTTTGAACAATCATTGTTTTTTTTTATAACTGTTGCAATTAAACTTTTAAGCAAATAATTAATAATAATAATAAATAATAATAATAATATAAATAATAATAATAATATGTAAAAAAGACAA